TTATATCGTTATGTATATATATATATATGTGTGTATATTCTTACGTATATATATATTATATACATACATAATATACTTATATATAATATATATAATATATATATACACAAATATATACGTATATTTGCTTCTTTTTGTTACAACTCCGTTACCCCGCGCACGTTTGTCAACGACGGATCTCGTCCTAGCTCCGAGATGAATCGACCGACGATATTGCAATTAGAAATTCAATCGAACTAGCGTCGCTACCGAAAGAAACGTACCCTAACAACTAGAATGATGTCCGTTGACCGCGCCGACGGACCGGCAACGTCGAATGGAGTGACCGACAAGTTCGGATCGCGTTTTCTTCGTTCGTATTGCTCTTCGTAGACCTTCGATTCATTCGTTTGTTCTTCTCTTCGATGAAAAAGAGAGATAGATAGACAGAGACAGAGAGAGAGAGAGAGAAAGAGTACAATGATCAGACGGGAGAACGTGTAAAGTTCGTAAAATATACATTGCGGGCGCGTAGCATCGCAGGAACGGCAATGACAACGGCTCGCTCGCCGTCCGCGAGATGTAAAATGATTTATGGTACACGCGTCCTTCTTCTCGCGAAGGGGACACGATTCGCCGCGCGGACAATTATCGACGTTTACTCGCTGTAAACGAAAGATCGTTAGCAGCCCGGCGGTTCCTTTTATACCAGCTATACGTATATTCGTTAGAATTAAGAAGCATAATGCACTTTTAGAGCCAGGTAACGAATACCCCCGCAACAAGTACCGCAAGTACTCGTGTACAGATCGAGGACCAGAACTGAAGCGTCGCGCGTTCGTTGCAAAGTCGCTTTCGCGATAAAATAAATTGAATACGACGATAGGAAATTGTTCGCGAGATTATCAGTAAAAAGGTGTTCAAATTTTCTGTCTTTCTTTTCTTCTTCGACTTCCTCCTTTTTTTCCTTCGTTTTTATTAAAATACTGATGAATAATCTGAGGCACGATCTTGGATATAATTTAAAGTGTCGGCGTACTTTGGAGACTCGTTTCCCTTCTTCCGAATGAGAATTGTAAAAAAAGAAATGAATCACAGATCGAACTATGCACGAATATGTACGGTGCGTTCGTCAACTTGTTGCCCGTTACACTATATATGCACAGAAGGAAGCATCGTGTGTGCTGAACTATTGTATAATAATATAATAATAACAGTAATAATAATAATATAATAATAATAATATTAATAATAATAATATTAATAATAATAATAATAATCGAGTTTCGTTTTCAGACTTATTCTTATAGAGTTATTACTTCTCCTTATATACACATATACATATACACACACAAGTTGGCATGTATGCACATGTAATTTGAACGAAATGGCCTGTTTCTAGCGTTTGATTCGTAAACGTATTTACCAGAGATGAAAGAAATGATATATAGCCGGGGAACGAAAAATCAACGGGCAAGATGATATCGATTCCTGTTTTGAAAATGAACTTGAGAAGACTTGAATCAACGTCCCTGAAAATTAGTACGGTTCTTAAAAGTCTGACCGAGCGAACGTCGGCTCGACAAGTTACTCTACGTTAAACGTAACAAAAAGAGAAAAGAATACTGGATTAATTCGCGATCATGAAGTAGATGAACCGACGATCATCGTTATTGCGTGACGATTAGAAGACTTCGCGAGACTACGGATTGCAAACTAGTAGCTTGGAGCTTTATACAATGCTAAAATATCCCGCCGCGTACAACGATTTTCCCGTTTCTTCTTTCTCGTCGTTCGAAAGAACAATTTTGCTATCGCCGTTATGTTACAACGTGTACGCATGAACTGCTGCGTAGGAAACTCTACAAATCAATCGCAACACGACAAATAAACAATTCTATGGGTTTTCTTTCATTCTTTTCTTCTCTTTAGCCGTGAACAGTAAATTTTGCAATACCCTTTTTGCGTACGTGTGTATCTATACATGTACAGATCGGGGTTACACGACACGACACCGTTAATACGTCGTCGACGAACGACGACTGGATATCAGTGGAGCCCCGTTCGTGTAAAACATAAATGCTAAATTTACAGAAGTAATTAAAATTGGCGTGTACAGATCCTTTACACTTCTCCAGAAAACCACTTAACGATACTAATACAGTAACTATATTAAAATAACACAAGGTATAACAATAGATTAAAGACGTTGTACTGTTTGATGATTTCCTTTAGAGAGTGTGTGTGAGAGAGAGAGATAGAGAGAGAAAGAGCGTGTTCATCCATCTTTATCTTTCCTTTCTTTTAATCGCATACTTTTTTTTTTCTTCTTTTTGTTTTACGTAAAAAAAGTCGTAACGTATTTTGATTATTATAGACACAATAATATGGCGAGAATATCGTGGCGAAAAATATGCTGGACACCAAAGGCTTTATGCGAACAAACCACTTCTTCCGTTAGCTCCCCGACGGTGTTTCGCTTTCGATTAATCCACCCGTCGTCGTCTTTCGTCGTTCGAATCTCGTTTCGCGTCATACAAACGTTTACTAAAAATAGTACAATCTAATCGAGGACATATCATATAGAAAATTGAAAAATATACAAGATATAAAACACATATCAGAACGCCGTTCTCATCAGGTAGCGAGTGACTTCCGATGTCCGACTATGTTTTCAAATATCTCCGTTCAAGTTTCCCGCGCCCGGATCGTATCCCTATACGTACACATTTCATCGTCGTCGCCGGCCAAAGGGTCCGGACGATCCTTCGCCCGTCCATTTCCCGGCACGCGAGGCCCTTTTGAATCGCGTTCAAACGAATTAACATTCCGCTAACTTCGATATCGCGTAACCGCGGCTTCTGTACAAATAATTTGCCCTACTAGACAACCGGAATCGTATCGCACGCCATTCTTTGGTATCCAACAGGCTTTCCCACGCCGAGTTCGTGTTCCGACGGACATTAGTCGTGGTATGGGCAGTGAATGAACAAGCAAATACCAATATTAAATGGGCTGACTCTCCCATTGAGGCGCCCATTCTGGAAGTCGTCAATCTACGTTCGATGGTGGTGCGGCATATCTGCTTCTCGAGTCGGAATCTCCGTCGCATATGTATTTCCCTGAAAAAATCATCCGTACATGTATCGTAGATCCGATAGATCGGTAAACTACAAGGGAATCTTTGTGACATCGATTCATACATTCTACGGTACTCGACCGTTCTTCGACCACACTACCATTCATACATGCATCAAAGACGCCTTCAATGATTCTTGCCATGGATGAATACCGGATAGACCAAGCAGCAAAAACCACTGAAGTATATACTTACAGACCAGCGTTACAAGCGACGTTGCGTACCCGTTCAGGCGTACATTTCACACTAGACAGACACACGATCTCACCTATTTATTCACACAACTCGCAAGAAACTTATTCGCCTTTATAAGCCTTCTTAAATGTACACGGACGTTTGAAAGTGACGCAACCAGAATAACAAGTTTTTACAAGCAGGCGTGACGATCCATTCGAACCAGGAAACGAACTCCGGTCAGACTCAAGGAGGAAATTGACACGCTTGTGCCACTTACCAGAGACGAATCTGCGCTTGACTAAACTTAATCTGTAGCCCGGACCCAGCAGTTCGAATTCAACGCCGGATAATGTGGTCCCTTCGCAATTGAACTGAGTGAATATCGTTCCCTGGTTCCCAGGCCCGTGTGCAAGCTCAACCCGCGCCTTCAGAGAGCCTACGCCGTTACCCTCGCTGTGCTGGGACAGTTCCGTGAACTTCCACAATACTCGATTCGTCTCTGACAGCCATTGAGCTTGGGGTTTGCTGTTCAAGGACTTGAAGCCGCCGTCTATAGGCGCTGCCACGTGGAGGTTCAGCAGGGGACTCGGCGAAGCCATAGCACGGCTGTTGTATTTATAATCGATCTGGAACACACGTACGATTGCTCATTTGTCGATCACGCGACCCTCCGCAAGTGTCAGCGGTGTATACCTTGAGATCCGTGTGAGTCGACTCGCACTTCCAGTACGCTACCAACTGGAAGGGACAGGAGCCCGCGCCTTCCTTGCATTTGATTTGATACTTGAGTATGTCAACGTTAAAATAGGAAGCCGAGGGATTTTGTTCAGCCTGCTTGCGCAACAATGTAGTTAAGGCACTCATATTGAATTCGAAAATTGTACTGTCGACGGTCGTCTGTGTGGCATCCCTGTACAAGATTAACAGGAAATTAAAAACACGCTTAGCGCGAGCTGCTTTCGCGTTGTTATTAGATCAGTCCTCGAGCAACGTGGCTCCCTCTTCGTTTAAACTATACAGATCGCGAACAATTCATTTAGAAAAGCCCCGTTCCTCGCGGGACGACCAGACGCACGCGCGTCTTACTCACATGCTGACGAGCTGATTATTAGGGAACAATTTTTCCAATCTGTTACTGTTTCTCACGCGAAAGGTGAGCTTCGCAGGACTCGGGTTGTTCGCCAGCACGGTGACGATACCGGCGGGGAACGACAGCATCATGTCACCGCTAAGCTTCACCTGGCATCGCGTCTCGTCGGTGCCGCGAAAATAAGAATGTACTATTTCATGGAATGCAACCGCCAACGGAATAGTGTCCGCCAACCCAATCGTCAAAGGAGAAGGACCCCTCGAGGAGCCGACTCCGACGCCGGCGGTGCGAAACTCTAAACTGGCCACGCTGTCCGCTCTGGATATCGTGGCCGGCGACATTCTACCCCTCGGCGAGGGACCTTCTCCTCTTCGGGACGGTGGTCTGGGAATGATAATTGATCCTGTCGGGGTGGAAGATGCGGATTGCTTGGGGGGTAAGGCCGGAGTGATGTCCCCCACTTCCGAGAACAAGTCGCCATCTGTACAAAGCAAAGGGAGTTCAGTTTTCCACGACGATCGTAGGCGAGGGAATTTGTTGATCGACGAACCAAGAATTTCTACGCGCTTGTTGCATCGAAGGACGTACAAAACAATTAAAGCGAGAACTGCTACGCATACGTTCGTAACGTTGAACATGTGAAAGAGTAAGGCGGCATGTAAAATTCACGGCGAAGCAAACAATTCGGTAACACTGCGAACAAGAAGACAATCTCACGGGGGATCGTTTCAACGGACACAAAGAAGCGAACGTTGATCGGCCACGGAATTAAACCAGGCCGAAATCCCACGGATAATCCCTCTCCGGCGAGGGAGGAAAAGCGTCCCGATGAGCTGAGAGCGTAATGAGACGCGACTCATTCGACTCACCGGGGAATCGTGAATGGGGATGTGTAGGTGGTGCAGATTGTGGCGGCTGTGGCTGAGGCGTCGGCGACGAAGACAGTGGCGGGGGGCTTTGCAGTGGCGCGTACGGATGGCTACCGGTCGGCGTTGAGGCGCTCGATGGCGTACTGCTGGGATTGAACAAGTTTAGGCCAAGTAAATCTGAGCTTGGCTTACCTCCTAATTGTTGTGACACTGACTGAGACCTTTTCATATGGTGATCTGAGTCGGTGTTCGATCCTCTACGTCCCTGTTTCGAATCAAAAACAAACGGAAACTAATTAAAGAAACATTCGCGCACTTGTAACACGGGGGTTGAAACGGTTCCAAGAATAATTCTGTACACAGTACTTAAATAGTAACAGTTCTGTTTCTTAGAATCGTGTCGGGAATTGGGGACCGATAATATAATTGTCTCTACTCTTGACTTCTAAACAAACGAAATGACAAAATCTTCTATTTCTGTTGTTGTTGTTCAATTATGAATCTATATCTCGAGTATGATGTTTTCTTTGCAATCGTAAGAGATCACTAAAGTATTATTACTATTACTATTACTATTACTATTACTACTACTATTACTACTACTATTATTATTATTATTATTACTGTTACTATTACTATTACTATTACTACTACTACTACTACTATTATTACTATTACTATTATTATTATTATTACTGTTACTATTACTATTACTACTACTACTACTATTATTATTATTATTATTATTATTATTAAATGGAAAGTACCGTCGGCGCAGGAGACAGCGACAAATTCTCGACAGTCGCCCTCAGCTCGTCCACGCTGGCGCTCATAGGTGCCCCGCCATTGCTAAGAGGTTTGATTTCCACCCTGATCTTTCTCTCCCTCTCGTCCTCGGAGTCGGTGTCCGAGCTGGAGTAGAATCCCTTCTCGTTCTCCCACGGGTCTGATTTTGGTCTGATACAGAAACCATCCTCGTCCACTTCCGGTGTCGGTGTCTCCGACTTTCTGCTGTCCTCCTTGTCCTCCCTACCATCAAATCGTTGCGGTTCAGTACAACATACTATCACAGGTTCCAGCAGGCCCAGTGCATTTTTATATACGCACGACGGTATTGACTGTTTAATATTCGTACTCTAACAAACAGTGATAATTTTTAAGGAACGTCGTTTTCGTTATTTTCAATAAGTTCGGTACCGATGTGCTCTAGTGACTATTAGGTGCTGACGGAAGCAACAAAAGGGAACCATTAAACGATCTTTGGATCGATCCCGCGACCAAGCCTCTAACATCGGTAGAATCTCTTTCTTTCCGATTGGAAAGTAATCGAATTTTCAAGATCATTTCGTACATTGAGAATTTCTACAGAATTCGCTAAGGATCGATCAAGGCCTTGGTCAAGGGATCGACCGCGAGTGCACTAGATCTGCTGAAAGTGCGTATACTGACAGGTCAGACTTTTCTTCTTTGTTGCTGCTCGTCTCCACGATATCCTTCTTCTTCTTCGCTTTCTTTTCCTTTCGCTTTTCTCTCCTGCTGCGAAGAAACCCTGTTGGTCGTGGACGCACGATATATAGAAAACAAAGTGGCACTTAATTTTTCACGGTCCACGAAGAACCGGACGGTATATGCATATATATGTACGGCGTTTTCTTTGACTTTTTTTCTTTCTTTCTTTACTTTAATGCCCAGAATAGATTCGATTTATTCGACGAGATACAGAGACTGAATTCCCACGGAAACTCGGAGAACCGAATATTCTTCGCTCACGCGTACGCGAACAG